GTTTGTATTTGGATGTCGTCTTCGGTGTAGTCTTCGCTGTACTCACGAATCGATTCGTCATTTTTCTGGCCTCCGATTCGAGCCTTAAATGCGAATACTTTTCGTTCAGCTCTTTGTTGTCGTTCTGCAGTTTCGCGACTCGTGTCTCGTATTCCTCTTTAGTCTTATCGATGGATCGCAGGCACTGTGCCTTCACTGCACGAAATGGTTTCATAAATACTAATTAAAATCGATATAAAACATACACTAAACCTAAAAACCAATGAATAACTGAATTTTTATGAATGCATTTCAAGTGAATTGAATGTAAAATGTGATGAAAAGAGTGGTAATAAACAATGCCTTCAATGATCTTCTCGTCGTTGGCGTCCAAACAGTTCTGCACCGAACGGTCCAACTCTTTGTGCAAACTCTGGATCTTTGTTTCGTACAACTCGCGCATTTCTGCCATATTTTGCTCGCTTTGCGACTTATTATCACTCAATTCACGCGTCAAGTGATTGATGGCTATGTCTTTGGAACTCATGGTTAGCTTCAACTCTTGGATCTCTTTGTCCTTTAAGTCGAGACTCTCTTTCGCTTCATTGAGTCGTGAATTCATATCATTCGTCACCCGTTGGACCAACTCTTCGCTCGATTCGCCGCAACTCTTCAGCGTTTCTTTCAATCGTTTGATCTCTTCTTCCAAACCATTGTTTGTCTCTTAAGTCACCAAAACATGAAACAAATGAATGCATGGATTGTGGCGTCAATTCATTGCAAACCTTTGAGTCGATGGAACTCTTGGAGTGCTTTTTGCTGAATGTCTATACATTTGTGTCGTTCTATGAGCTGTTGTCTCAGTTGATCCAAATGGTGACGATTCCAGTCCTTGTTGTCGTCCATCGCCGCCAACTGTTGTCTCAACCGTTCCTTCTCTTCGTTGTCCTCACGAATGGACTGTCAATGCAATCGTGTTATCACTTATTGCGACAATGAATGGTGTGATTGGTGTTCACCTCTTTGAGTCTATCCAAGCATTGGATGAGTTGTTCGCCCGCTTTGGTGTCCATCTCGTCCTTTGGTGATGTCTGCACTTCAGTGTCCATTCAATGCAAACACAGATCACAAACACAGCACTGAATGCGAGTTCAATGCAATGACCGCTCAAACAGCCGATCACTCACTCATTCGTTCCATTCATTCGCCGATCATTGCGTGCATTGCAGTCAATGCCTGGCAGTGCCTTACAGTGGCTTACAGTGTGCGCGCTTACAGTGCAGTCATTCGCTGTAAGGACTCACAGATTGACAGCACAGACGACACATTGATTGACACGAATGACCACTCATTACAGTACAGTGTATCACATGTTTGGCTCTACTTTCACATCACATGGGTTTATGTGATTGATATAATTATTGAATTATCATCTAAACCAGCTATATGTCCATCACCATACACATAACTTACACTTGAAAGATTATTGTCATATTAATTGACTGACCTATTATAGTATAATAATTAATGAAAATAAGATTTTAGAAAATTGTCAAAAATATAAAATTAAATATTATGAAGGTAATTAATTAACTATTATTAACTAATTAATCAATTTTTGCCTCATTTGCATTGATTTACCATTTATGTAGTACTGTATAGTACAGCATATTAGTGCATAGACACAGGTATTCTAACATAACTTACAGTGTTCAATATATTCAATGTATGACCATGATGCTTTAAACAAATACCGTATATAACTCTTTCTAAAATTAGTATTAATACAAGTTTATCATGGTCAGAATAATATTACAAATGTAAATATAACTGTATAATATCAATGGTAAAGTTTATAAAAATAGTTTTAAATTATATTAAAATTTAAATAATAAAACATTTAATATAAAAAAGCTCTAAAAGTGTCACATTTTTGAAAAACCGCTAAAATAGCAATAAATAAGACTTTTTATGACTT